CCACGACACACGCAAGGTTCAAATTACGCACAGAGATGGGAAGATAACCACCTAGCGGGAAGGTGTTACACAGACCGCGGAGGTATGGATGCGAACATTCAGGAGAATCGCAGGATGGGAGGTCAAACACAATCGATCCAATTCCGACCAATTCCTCCACCGGCTATACCAGGAGGGAATAGAGGAATAACACAGAATGCGGTCCAAATACGTGATGAACCATCCACAGTGAGTGCGAGCGAGCGGCCAACACGCGCCCCACCCGCCGAGGTGTTAAACCCTGAGCAGGCTGCAAGTGACAGGGCTGAATGGAAGAGTGATCGGACGGTGGATAGCAGACAGCAGAGACAAAGAGAGAACACAGAGACACGCCCTGAGGAGCGCAGGCGTGAGCCTTTGAATGGAAAATATCCAAGGGAAACCAAAAACTATGTGGATCGGAGTGCTAAAATAGAGACGAATGTCCATGACGTATCGGGAATGGTGTTGAAATCCAACACACTCGTAAAAACAAAGAGGGCAACATTACGAAGGACAGAATTAAATCGACACACTGACTCGGCAAATGTGCATGTAATCGCAGAGAGAGCGAATGCCACGAACCAAGTGTCAAAGTGGGTCGTGTGCGCGAATTCTGGTTACGTGCAGCACAATTTTTCACCACACACTCCCACGACGCGAGAGAGTGAGAGAGGAAACTACAAAAACGAACCCGAAAACCGTGATCAAATTATCAAAGTGATAAGTGGTAAACCAGGCAACATGAGGAAGGTAACGCATAAATGCGTTCGAAACCGCTACCTAGCGTTTCCCAGGATTTAACAAAAACAAAAATGAATGTTCGTCAGAGTTATGATGTATGAGAACCGATGTAACGCAATATCGATGTTAACGTGTGTTATTTTCTTTGCTTAATTCAAATGTAACCAGGATTTAACAAAAACAAAAATGAATATTCGCCGGAGTTATGATGTATGAGAACCGATGTAACGCAATATCAATGTTAACATGTTGTTATTTTCTTTGCTTATTTCAGATGTAACCAGGTTAAGATTGTAATACGTGCACGCGCGTCGTAAGAAATAACCGCCGAGAGTAAGGGCGGCTGATGGGATGCATGACATAAAAAGGGGGCATTACTTTGTTTGAAAATTCGCCAGTGGCCAAATCGACCCCTGATAATTTTCAAAAGGGCGGACTGTTGTGTATGTACCCCCTTTTTATTTTTTTTTTATATTATTTTTTTTTTTAAGAATTATTCTGCCAACATAGATAATATCGTTTTTTTTTAATAGACGCGGCCACGTGGGAACGAACACGCCCCCACACTTCCACAGAGGCCCCCACACTTCCACAGATGCGCGCATACCTCATTTCAAAGGAGAGAGGACATGAAAGGGGGGGCAATAAGGTAATAAAAAAATAAACTCCCCTAAATTCACACAAGAGGAACAAGGGAGGGGGGGAATTGCAGGCGGGGGGTTGCAGAACCAGGAGACACGGAGGAAGAGATAATTATATTCTTAACAAAGAAACAGCATCGACGACAAAAAGCACAGATGGGTCTTTGAACCATGTTAAATACACAAGTTACCAACTTAACCATAAAGATTAAGCAAACAGTATCCATCCTCACTCCAATTGAAAACCAGACGACAATCTGAACCAGAATCGCGACCCATCATTGTTAATAAATACTGACATTATTTACCTTTAAAGAATATCTACACGGCCGGGCCGAAGCATCAAAGAATAATTATGGCATCGATTTCGCTCCAAAACAAAATTCCTAGCCGGGATATCAGATTAAATAATCACAAGAAGTCAAATAATAAGTACGGAATTAAAGTAGAAGAGGAATCAAGGGCGGAGAAGGCTCTCAAAATTAACCAAACACAACAACCCATGGGAAGCGAGCAACACGGCCGCCTTTGTCTTTCCGAGAGGATCTCCACACGCAGGCACAAAGCTAGGAAATGACACCCATAAAGGGGGCAATGGCTCAAAGGAAATTAACACGTCTTCGAATAAATAAGCGCATGCGCCGGGTGCTCCCACCGTGGAAACAACCGCCTTTGTCTCCCCACAACACGGACAAACACGCACGCGAAACACACGGACAAACACGCACGCGAAACACACGGACGGACACACACACGGACGCAGATGGTCCACCCCCACAGGAAGGTTTTATGACACAGCTTTTGAACAACTCGGGAAGCCGAGTGGAATTTTCCGATATAAACCGAAGGAAAATCCATACAACTCAGATCGACAGGGGCTCTGGCCTCCATCACAGATCGACAGGGGCTCTGGCCTCCATCACAGATCGACAGGGGCTCTGGCCTCCATCACAGATCGACAGGGGCTCTGGCCTCCATCACAGATCGTCAGGGGCTCTGGCCCCCATCACAGAGATCGTCAGGGGCTCTGGCCCCCATCACAGAGATCGACAGGGGCTCTGGCCCCCATCACAGATCTCCAGGGCTGTGGCTCCATCTCTCCTCGTCGCCGCCAACGAAGAAGCTCCTGTCATTCAGAATGACGAGGTTTGCGGAGTAGCGACGCGTAGCTACAAGCCGAGGTCTGCACCACCTGAGAAGAATCGCTACCCTGAGTCGCAGAGCTGCGAGTGAAGCCAACAAAGACGCCAACGTCCACCCTGCCACGAACGAAGCATCGCTCCTCGTCAGAGTGACGACCAGCGAACAACCCGCAGGAAAGGCGGAGATCGCTGAACGAGCGACAACGAGCGACACCTTGCGCCACCGAGCGACACCGAGCGACACGAGCGACCGAGCATCTTCAAGGACAGCATCGTGCCAACTCGTCATCTAGCAGTAGAAAGAGAGAGCGCACGAGCAGCACCAAGCCCCCGGAACCATCAAGCGCCAAGCAAGCAAGTTTCTTCAAGGAACATCGTGCCAACGCCGCTCAATCCAGCAGTGGAGAGAGAGAGAGAGAGCAAAAGCCGAGCGACACGCCGAGCGAGGGAGCAGCAGGAGCTGTTCGTATCCTCCCACACCACACAAGCTAACGACACAATTAATATTACGAGCGGACAACGCACACACAGCACGCACACGAATAAGACTTTAAAAGAAAAACTGTCTTTTCGTTTCAAAAAGGGTTGCCATTTCGAGGTGGTGCGTTCAATATCAACTGATCGTGCAAAGCAGTTGCTGCCGTCGAGTTACATAAATGCATAAGAGTTTTCGTTATTCATATTGCATAATTGCATAATGTCACAACTGCATAAGTTTTTGTCGTTCATATTAGTTAATTGCATAATCTTGCCCATGAATTATTGACGCATGTTTGACCTGCATGATAGAATGTCAAGTGCTTGTTAGAATAAAATTGTAATCCAGAAGCATATCGAGTGTTCCTTCCAAGTCCATGCAAAACTGTCTTATTCTTGACAACTGTATCCTGTGATGAGATCTGAACCTGGAGAATTCAAATAATATAAACACACTAAGATAATCAGTAAATGTTTAATCGACGATAATCGTGTTATCCTGATTGATAACTCTGGATAAACGAAACTAAGCAAATTATCATAACTGCACACATTAACATAATCGCAAGCCTCCGCAGAAATTACTACGATTATCATAATTTATGCATATTATCACACGCATTATCATAATTTATGCATATTAATACACACACTATCATAATTAATGCGATTTGCGCATTTTTCGGAAAATTATTAATATTTATTATTTTCATCAAAATTTCATAATTCCGACACATACAACAGTCCCTTCTGAGTTGCGAGGCAAGGTGGTGTGGGCCGCGCATGAGCGCCTATTACACCTGGGGACCCAAAAGACTCTTGCACTGCTACAACTAGATTTTTTTTGGCCTGGTATGACGAGGGATGTTGGGGATCTATTGGGATCATGCCCTCGGTGTGCGCAACGGAAACCGCCGGCGCGGGAGTCTAACCCGCCCTTGCAATCGATCAAAGTATCCAGAATAAATGAGCTTGTCGCGCTGGACATTTTGGGCCCATTTCCCGCCACCCCCAGGGGCAATAGGTATTTGTTGACAGGTGTCGAGTATTTTACGCGCTGGCCTATGGCCTGGCCCCTTGCCAACCAGTCGGCAGCAGCCATCGTGGAGGCCTTTGTTCAGGGATACGTCCTGGACAAAGGTGCTCCGGAGCGGCTGCTGACCGACCAGGGCAGAAATTTTTCCGGTAAATTACTCAAACAAGTCTGTGACCTCTTAGGCACGAAGAAAATTCGTACCTCCCCGTATCACCCGCAAACTGACGGAATGGTCGAGCGCCTGCATCGCACCATTACGTCAATGATGTCACAGCAGGTCTCGGACTCGCAGACTGACTGGGACCTGCATATTCAAGGGGTCTTGGCGGCATACCGGATGGCACCCCATGCAGCTACGGGATTTTCCCCCTTTTACCTCATGTACGGTCGCGAACCCGACCCGCCTGTTCGCGCCCAGCTGCAGATCCCCGACCCGCAAGGGAAAACTAAATTGGCTGACCACGTCAAATTTAATCTGGCCAAATTAACAGAGGCGCGGGATGCTGCTATGCTAAACTCGGACCTCCGTCAAAAGGCGAATGAGCGCCTCAGGCTGGGTCGGGCGCACGTAATACAGTGGAAGCCGGGGGACAAGGCATGGTTGCACTGTCCCCAAGTGCCCCTGGCTACCTCCCCTAAGCTGGCGCAGCCGTGGCGGGGCCCTGTGGAGGTGGTCGAAGTTTTGCGACCACAGTGCGTGCGCATTAAATGGGGGAAGCGGCGATGGTTCGTGCACCCCTCTAGGTTAAAACCCTTCGTTGCGGTACACAAACCCACTTCACACATGCATGGCCAAACGTGTGGGGGGTCGACCGACTCACTGGGTCCGTCTCCGTCGTTCTCACCTAATGCCTTGCCGGCCGTGCCACCTCCAGGTGCATCAGGACTGACGGGCTCACGCCCGACCACCCCTCCTGGGGATACCGACGGTCGCGCGGCATCGGATGAGGTCTCACTCCGGGACGGACAATTGCCACCTGACGGTCCGCCACCCGGGGTTACCCCGTGTGAGGGGCCCGCTGCAAGGACGCGCGCAAAAATGCGCAGACTGTTATGAGGCCGGAAGATTTGTACATAGGTTGTGTTCATCGTGTGTTGTGTGGGTGGTGTGTTCCCTGCCCATTGAAATGTACATACGTTGTGTTCATTGTGTGTTGTGTGGGTGGTGTGTTCCCTGCCCATTGAAATGTACATACGTTGGGTTCACCTGGTATTGTGTGTATGGTGGGTTCCCTGCAAATTGTATATAGGTTGTTTTTTTACGGAATTCGTATTTATTCAAGGGGGGGTGCGTCGGGTTGTTTTCTCTTCTTGCTGTTGCATTTTGTTGTGTTCTTGTTGCTGTTCTTGTTATTGTTGAAAAATAGTGAGGCACACGCGCGGTCAAGGTGTAAATGCACTTTTATTGTCATTTTTGTATGTTGGCAGCCGGGACGGCTGCAAGCTATGCGGGGGGGGGGGGTGATGTAGGGGTGTTAAAGAGAGGGCCCGTTATGCATGGCAGCCTATGGAAAACAAACACAGTGGGCGGGGCTACGTAAGTGCACGAGCAAGTGCCCTCTACGACGTCCGAGCCAGACACCCTGGGGGGGGCTGGTTCGAACGTTATGATCCCCCGGGGCCCCACCCCTCAGGGAGGGGTTGGGTATAAAAGGGGATGTTTCAAAGGGCTCGGCAGTTATGTTTAAGCTAAGGGAAGAAGATTGAAGACGTCTTAGATAGAGCCCTGGACTCCCCTGGTTCGATGTCCTTTTCAGGGCCGGACAGGATTGAGCCAGCGGCGTGGTCCCGAAAGCCAGAGCCGGTGCTCTTGTAAGAGCTGGTCTGGAACTCCGGGTACCGGGCCCGACTTACCAGTGTCGGGCCAGTTAGCCTCCCCTAGCCCATTAGTGGAGGATTCGGGGCTAGGACAGAGTTAGCTAGGGGTGTATCCCGAGTTATACGGGTGAGGGGGCCGATACCCCCTCGAGTGTGTATATGCCCACTGTCATATTGTGAATAAACATACGTGTGCCTCAACCTCGGCGTCAAGCGTCCTCACCGGTACTTCATTTAGATGGAAGCATATTATATTTTTTACGACGTAGAATTGTAATGTATTACTTACTGTTAGTAACTCAGCTTATTGTAGAGTATATTTACTATACTGATGATACTATGTAGTCTATACTTTAGTTGTTTACGTGGTGGTTTTAGTTACTGCAGCTACATACTATTAACACTCCTTCCCTTTATTAATGCTACCCCAATCCTCTCCCTTTGATGCTGCTAATCCTGCATAATGCACGGACATAAGTAGTACTATTCACATACCTGCATTTCCCATATCCCCTCCCTTTGATGCTGCTAATCCTGCATAATGCACGGGCATAAGTAGTACTAATCACATACCTGCATTTCCCATATCCATTCCCTTTGATGCTGCTAATCCTGCATAATGCACGGGCATAAGTAGTACTAATCACATACCTGCATTTCCCATAAATATGCTAAATTCCTCTTGATATGCGTATTCTTTTGTCAAGGCTCCCTTTTCCCCCCTTCCAACCTAGCTTATATATATATGCTCCAAGCACTGTGCTGTTTCATTCAGACACTGTCGCCTCGCCAGACCTGGTTTTCACCTGATGACGGCTGCTTGCGTTGTAGCCGAAACGTCGTGAGAATTGTTTTATTATGTTTTATTTTTATTATTTTATTACTTCCCTTCTACGTGACTTTACCGAAAGAACCAAGAAGACTTGGAGAATATCTGCAAAGAGGAGTGGGACAAAATCCCTCCTGAGATGTGTGCAAACCTGGTGGCCAACTACAAGAAACGTCTGACCTCTGTGATTGCCAACAAGGATTTTGCCACCAAGTACTGTCATGTTTTGCAGAGGGGTCAAATACTTATTTCCCTCATTAAAATGCAAATCAAGTTATAACATTTTTTACATGCGTTTTTCTGGATTTTGTTGTTGTTATTCTGTCTTTCACTGTTCAAATAAACCTACCATTAAAAGTATAGACTGATCATTTCTTTGTCAGTGGGCAAACGTACAAAATCAGCAGGTGATAAAATACTTTTTTCCCTCACTGTAAGGGTTTAGGTTAAAGGTTCAGTGGGTTAGAGGTTTGGGGGTTTATGGGTTAGGATTTTAGAGGGTGATGGGTTTAGACCGTTATGGTTTTAAGGGTAAAGGGGTTTTGAGGGTTGGGTTTTAGAGGGTTACAGTTTAGAAGGATATGGGTTTAAAGGGTTCTCGGTTCAGATAATTAGGTGTTTAGAGGATTTATGGGGTTTGATTGTTAAAGGATTAGTGGTTTAGAGGGTTAGGAGTTTATAAGGTTATGGGCTTAGGGGTTTAGAGGTTTGGGGTTTTTAGGGGATAAGTGGTTTAGAGGTTTTGGGTGTTTCAAGGGTTATGATGTTTCGGGGTTGAGGGTGTTAGAGGTTGAGGGGTTTAGAGGGTTAGGGATTTCGGTGTATTTGGGTTGTGGCTTACCGTCGCACAGCAGCTCCTAAACACTGTACACTGCCAGGAGTAGCAGTGGTGGTGGCATTTCTGGTGGTGCTGGTGGCCGCGGTCCGGAGCCAGCTGTGACCCAGCGCCTGTGCTGGCGTCATGCGACAATCCGGATCCCATCTGTTGAGAGACACACGGGGGTCACACGCGGCGCACATGGTGAGAGAGGCGTGGTGAGAGCATTGACGTTCCTTCTCTTCTCCCACGAGGTCCAGGAACGCACGGCAGCAGCGGTAGTCGTGGTAGCAGCGGAAATCCTTCAATACGCAGTACTCTAAAAATGCCCTGAGCCTCGCACTGCCGAGTAGAATCTTTAATGAACCTCCAAAGAGGGCGATCTTAACACCAGTGGTACTGGTCATCGGCAGGTTCACTCAGCTCCACATCTTCCTGGTGATCGGAGGAGAGCGATCGTTGATCACCTTGGTGGAGGAAATCCTCATGGGGAGGGGGTGGGGGATGATTCTTACCGCAGGCAGGAGCTGACGAATTCAACAAACTCCGGGTCGTGGCTATTGAGTGCCCCGTGAAGTGACAAGCTCCCTGGCACCCTTCTCTTGACTGGGCAGAACATCATGCCCACACGATCTGCAGGAGACATGCACAGCAGGAGAGACACACAGTCACCAACCACCACTTTGCCTACTTACCCACTTACCCACCAACCCACTCTCCCACACACCCATTTACCCACCCACACCCAAGGAATTGAAAGTACAAAGAGGCCCCCCCCCGTGGCCACCCCAACAGCTCCAGGCCACACCCTAACACTGAATCCGGTCGGTTGCTCGCCCCACCCTTCAACTCACTAAAGTAGTGCATTCCATCAGGAGCTGCATCCATCATACATCTTGGAGGCAACCCGAGGATCTGCACATGGTGGAGATAAAGGCAAAGGTCACCCGTGTAGGTGCAGCAAACTGTAGGGGCAAGTGCTTTTAGTAGTGAGTAGAAACAGCAGCAACAGCAGCGGCACCTGTTGAGGGCCAGGACTGTGGCACACACAGAGAGGGGATGGTTGGCCATATTGAAGCAGGTACACACCACACCAGGTATTCATTTGAGGCTGAGTCGAACTCGGGGATGCCCAGTACCGGTTCAGATAATCCTCACTGATGTTGGCCGTGATTTGGAATCAAACTCGCATTACCGGGTTTGTAGCTGAGCACGCTAACCCCTGCACCACTGCTTCCCCACACGTACAAGACACACACGTGTACACACATACAACATACGATGGCTGCCATTCGCCAGGTCACCAAGTACCCAATCGACCCCCCCCCCTCTCCTACCGCCCCCCCCCCCCAGAGCCTACAACTTCAAGGAAGGAGGGGGGAATCACGAGTGGGTGAACGCCCAGTTGGAAATACCTCCATGCAGCACGGGAGGTGGTCGTCGCAGCTGTCTGACTGAAACCCTAATACCTCCGGAGATTGGAATGGCCGAGTCCCACCAACATAAAGAGCTGCACAACAACCACAACAACAAATATATATGTATGTGTGTTCTCACTATGTCATGAACAGCATCCTTGTCACACACTGTCACATGTACAGACACTAAGAGACTTGCACACACACTGGTACACAGACACACCCACACGCAGAAACTCACACCCAGGTGAGGTTACTCACGTTGACTTTTCACAAAAAGCTGGTGCCAAAGTCTGTGACCCTGATGGTGCCGGTCACGGTGTCCTTGATTAGAACATTTTCCTAAAGGAAGAGAGGCAGAAGAAATTCACACTCGAAGGTTACGCCAATAGCATTCAGCCATCAGTGGATCAATCACGTACCACAGTACATACTAAACGGTCGTCAACCTTTAATCAAGTGCAACATTCCCTGTTTTCTGACAGCTGCCACTGGGGGTGCCCCTTTCAAATGCGTCAAGACGAGCGATGTTCGTCGAGGCTCATCACATGTAAAGCTCTCTGAAGCACCATCTAAGTAAAAGGGTGCGGCTCTATAGACAACTTATCCTAGTTGCTCACAGCTGCCCGTTAACGAGTTACGAACCAAAAACCACACTCGAGGGCGCACGGATTTAGTGACGATTTGGGAACTTTCTATTCACAACATGGAAGCCGACAATGTGCACCTGTCAGTTCAAACGCGTGTTTGGCACGTTTTGAAAATCATTCTTTTCAGCTCCCGTTTGTGTTTCCCAAAGTTTGTGGCAACGCTGTGATCTACATTGCTGGTTTTCTCTGTGGTGAGTCCCCCAATAGCGACACGACTCTACACGACAGTTTAATTCATACCGGATCATCACCAGAGGTAACATGACCCTGTCTCCTTCCAGATAGACGGACAGAGCTAACACATCGACCCTGTGACCAACGTGGGCGGTTTTCTCTATGGTCCGAGTCCCCAATAATGACACAACTCCGGAACAAAGTCGCGCTGAATGCTGTGTCCACTCACTGGCTTGATGTCCGCATGGATGATGCTCCTGGCCTTGGTGTGGCAAAGGAACTTGAGGATGCCCCTGGTGTAAGTTTTCACCATCCCCATGTGCAATTGCCGGAGCCCCCGCTTCCTTAATAACATCATGGAGGCTCTCCCTGTGAAAGAGGCAGAAGCAACAACAACAATTACAACAATGACGCAGTGTCAGTGCCATACCCTGCAATACTGCGTGGATTATGATAACGACAACATTAATATTCTATTTGCACATTCACGACTAATATGAGTCATAGCTCCGTGTGGGTTTAGGTCATTGGTTTGCTGATAAACCGAAGCAGCTAGCACATCTGACCACTTGCTTTCATTTGCTGTTTCCGGGTGGTGGAGTTATCTATTAGGAGATACAAACTCCACGCAGAAAGGCGTCCGTGTGAGAATCAAACTCAGGGATTTTCACCGAGGGGCACAAGTGTCACCACTGTGCTGCAGCCAACCTGCTGATCGAGTGGCGGCGCTGATTGAGAAAAGAGGAGTGGCCTCTAGTGCACCTGGGGCACATGACAGCTCCACAGTATCGCAATGCGAGGTTGGCACGGGAATCCCAGAAGTAACATCTAGCCCCGGTGGTGTGATGTTATCACCCCCCCTGGTGTGGAAGAGATCGGGGCTTTGATCATGACCCTGACGCATGTATATTCTGAGTTTGCATGTTCTCCCCCTGGTCACGTGGATTTTTATCCGGTCCTCTGGTTTTTCCCTCTACATTTAGAAACATTGTGGCTACAAATGATAGCTCAAAAAAGTGGCTGATGTGGAAATGTATGGCAGCCAAATTTCCACATCAGCCACTTTTTTGAGCTATCATTTGTAGCCAGGCCGCTTGTGAAAAATAAACTAATCGGACAGTGGGCTTTACCTGCTACATAAAATAGTTTTTGTTTAGCTAATGAAGTTAACCACGCCAGGGGGGGTGGGGGGGTGGGGGCGGTGGGAACCACATGGTACGTACTTCCACAGCTCCAAGACAATGGTTCAGGAATTTGACGACGTTGTAGTTCCTCATCACTGGCCCTCGCCCTGAAGTTCCAGAGCCATCTTGATCTCCATTCTCTGAAATTTATCACGCTTGGAGCTGTGCAGAGAAAATCCACAAATGAATCATGACTTAGACTTGCTTAAG